CGTTATACTGATGTAATATGTAAGCCGTCTTCGGACGGCCCATCCGTTTGAACTAATAAAGTGCCAGGGGCCTAAGTGGTCACCTTAATATTAAAAAAAAAAAAAAAAAAATTAATTCTGCTAAAACAAAATATATTTATAAAATATGTTTAATTGATAGCAATATACTATATAAATCAATAATTGAATAAAGTTTCATAAAATTGATGATGAATACTTTATATTCTTCTTTTCTAATACCAATTATACTAGCATTTTCTATTTATAATAAACATTCTATATAATTCAATTCTAATTCTACTAATATTTTTAAATTTTATATTTTGACTTTAATTCTAAATTTATACTTATCATTTTAACTTCAGCTTTAGCATATCCGAATGCTTTATTCTATTTTTTATAATTAAATTTTATGGAGTTTTTTTTTAAAAAAAAAAATCTCGTTCATTAAAAGTTAGTAAGTTCCAAATCAAAATATACTGGCATTTCTAAAGAAGAAACAAAAAGCGATTCTAAAGACCATTTGGCTATTTCATCATCAGCAGGATATATTTCTCATCCTTCTAAATTAAAATCCGAGTCCCATTCATTTGACAATAAGATTTCATCATTCTTGTTTTCAAATTGGTTCTTACATTTTTCAAGTTCAATCTATTTACTAATTAGGCTTTCCCACCTTTGTTCCTTATCTTCAACTAAATTCTCATTTTTTTCAAGATTTTGATTTGTCTGATTATAAGGTCTGGCAGTTGTTTCTTTTTTAATATTACCGTTATTACTCACTTGATAATCTGAATCATTGATGATTAATTTTTCTTGTTTGCTGCTTTTATCATCCAATAATATAGATGTTGCAATATGTAGTCTACAAATTTGGTTATCATATTCTTTTGCTGTTTTTATTACAAGACCAAAGAATATCTCTTCAAATTTGGCTCATTGCCAAAACTTTATTTTGCTATAATATTGTAGAAAAATATCAATTAGAATTAGTCTAATTATTATATAAATAAAATTTAAAATAACTAGATCTGTAACTGAACTCTGTGATTAATATGTAATAACCCCATGGAAGACCATAAACGTTTTACAGCTGCAAAGTTAATGCAAATTCTATAAATACAAATTGCTGCTCGTGCTAATTCTTGACCTATTCTTTTAGTTAACTCCCAAAAATCTACTAAATCTTCTTTAAATTGTTTAAATGATTCTATATCATATAGATTAGCTCCCTATTTATATTTTATTAATTCAGCCAAGATCGATACTGGTTTACAATTAAACTATGCTTTATAATAATATTTAAGCTATTGCCAATATGTGTCCAGAATAGATCAAAAATTATTAAGGGTTGCTTCTATTTATTCCAGCATGATTCAATACATGTTTTCATTTTTTCTCCAAATTCAGAGTTTTTATAATATTCGAACATTTTTGTAATATACCCAAAACAATGAAGAACTTCATATAATTAAGTCATATCTTTTTGTAATTTATTCAAAAAGCCACAAAGAGGATATAAAAGTTCGGCCAATATTATCCAAAACTGAGTATTATTTATAATATCAGCAATATTATCTAGAAATTTTTTAGTATCAAGAGGTGTGGCACCTTAGTGAAGTGGTCTAGTCGTCACCCTCTCCAAATGGTAATAGTATATTCCTCAAGGTTCGAATCCCAGAGAAGA